TGATGAACTCCGCTGAGTTCGCTGATTGCGTATTTGCGTCGCGTCAACATCACTCGGCGCCTCCTCGTAGTCGGTCTATTATTTACTTGATGTTTACAAATATATTTACTTTTAAAATTAGACTTTAATCAAAACGTGTTCAATGAAATRACATTTCATAAAATATGACCAACTTTGATTAAAAATTCTGTAAAAATGCAAAAATTTAAGYACAAAAAATATAGCGTTAAAATTAAAAAAATAAAAAAAAATGTAAAATAAGCAAAATTAATTTTTTTTTTTATTTCAGTTCTCTGAATCGTGAAAGAAATTTTAAGCTTACTCTGCTATTCGTTAAGCATTTTATTATAGAAATATGCAAATGCTTTAAAATTCCAATCTGAAAACAGTGTTGTAGGTACCTAAGTCATTAGGTCGATTTAAAATTTAATATACGATGACAAATTTACTGCAGGCTATATATTTTATGGCCTTGCAGTTAGTTTTATTGTTATAAATCCAYATACGGTTAAATCGCAAAGAATTTGCATCACTAAAAATACTCTTAAGATTTCTATTTCTATTTTCCATTACCTCGGCGTAAACACGTTGGAATGAAATAAAACAAAAAACTGTTTTTTCTATTATAAGTATTATATATTTTGCAAAGTGTATTTGTAACGTTGCAGTTTTTTAACATATTATATTTTATAATTAAGTCAATATAATAAGTCAAACACGAATCAGTTGAAAATATTATTATTAATTATTATCCATACGGTTGCAGGTAATGATGAATTTGGTATGCGTGAATTTGACCCATTACACTTGGACACTCCGTTACATTTCGAACATAAGGCCCGACTGATTGGTGGAAAAATCTCGGTTAAGGACATGATGACTGAAGGTTTGACWACAATGAAATTGGTATCGCTCAGGTAAGATATTTTTGGATAATAATATTATTTTAGTATTTAATTTTTGTTTTCACGTATCATCCTTACGGGACAAGCTTTAAAAAAACAATACCTGCCACCTATTATAAAATACATAAGAATAATAACAATACGTCATTATCATATATCAACGTTAATCAAATATTGAAAATTCCAATCGTATTGTATTTTAATATTTAAAAATAATTATTAGAAGAGAAGAAATGGCATCTTCGTCCAATCGTGTGACTATTTCAGTACCAAATTGCAACAGTTAGGGGCTCTGAATTTCAATATTCTGRCCATATAATGATGGAAATAAATTAACAAAGTAGGAATATTAAATATTTCAAATTATTTGATAAGTCCAAAAATACTTTTAAAAATCATTATTTATAATTTATATTTTTTAGCTTATTCTACAGCAGACATGTTAAGAGGATGTCAGCGCACTATTTGTTTTCTCTTTCTGGCTCACTCGTAACATAGACAAAATACATATATGCAGAATCATTTTTTCTATATCTTGAAGTCATTTTAGAGTAAAGCCTCTCATTACAAAAAAGATAGAAAATAATATTTTTGAGGGAATGACATATCAATTTGTCTAAATATTGTCTCTAAATAATTTAAACATTATTTAAATGTACAGTATTTTTTTGTTTATTTTGAAAGTCGAATACAAAGTCAAATATCAATAAAATATAAAATC